TCTGACAAAAGCTTAACATCCTGGATCTACAAGGAACTCAAACGTGCTGAAAAGAAAAAAAACAAACAACCCCATTATAAAATGGGCAAAAGATATGAACAGACACTTCTCAAAGGAAGACATCTGAGCAGCCAACAGACACATGAAGACATGTTCAACCTCACTAATCATCAGGGAGATGCAAATCAAAACCACACTGAGATACCACCTAACTCCAGTCAGAATTGCAATTATCAATAACTCAAAAAATAACAGTTGCTGGAGAGGGTGTGGCAAAAAGGGAACTCTTCTATACTGTTGCAACCTCTGTGGAAAGCAGTGTGGCAATTTCTAAAAGCTCTAAATATCAACCTCCCATATGACCCCGCAATCCCCCTACTGGGAATATACCCTGAAGAACTCAAATCACTCTATAAAAAAGATACCTGCACATGTATGTTTATCACAGCATTGTTCACAATAGCAAGAACCTGGAAGCAACCATCCTGTCCATCAAAAGAGGACTGGATTTTTAAAATGTGGTACATATACACGATGGAATACTACGCAGTCATAAAAAAGAACAATATCATTAATTTCGCAGCAACCTGGATGGAACTACAGCCTATAATACTGAGTGACCTCTCACAGAAACAAAGATCTGAGTATCACATGTTGTCACTCATATAGTGGACCTTGATCATCCAACATATTACCATAAGAAAATGACTGACAGTGGTGGGAAACTATGGGGGGGAGAGGGAGGTAGATGGGATTAATGGTAGTAAATATCTGTCTGGTATGGGGAGACACCTCTTATCAACATGGGTGCCTGAACGAAGCAATTTGTATACCTAACCCTTAACTGTACCCCACAATACCATAACAAAAAATATTGATTGGGGCGGGGACAGGTCAGGGTCAAGTGCCACCTACTCTCAATGCTCTCTCGGAGACCAAACGTTTCTGTTTCCTGCATGCCTACCTTAGGACAACTTCCAGAGACTTTCAAGGACCGTTTTTAAACAACAGCTATCACTGGCTGTGATTGTTCTCTGAGTGCATGTCCACAGAGTTCCCACACTGCTGGTCCAGGTGTGGGATCTCTGTGTTTTTTCCTAAATTATTAATTTTTAGGCATTCCTCTTTTTTTTGAGTTGGAGTCTCACTCTGTCACCCAGACTGGAGTGCAGTGGCCGCTCCCAGCCACCGCAGCCTCGATCTGCTGGGCTCCGGCAATCCTTCCGCCCCAGCCTTCCAGGTAGCTGGTACTACAGGCACGTGCTATCACACCCGGCTCATTTTTTATTTATTGTGGAGATGAGGTCTCGCCAAGTTGCCCAGGCAGGTCTCAAACCCGCGGGCTCAGGCAATCCACTCACCTCAGCCTCCCAAAGGCGCGGGATTACAGACTGAGCCACCGAATTTTGGACACCAATCCTCGGCCAAGTATATTAAAATGAATTAAATTAAACACCAAAAAATAAAAAATAAAATAAAATAATAAAAAGAAATTGAATCAATAAGTAATAACCTTCCAAAACAGAAAGCACCAGGCCAAGGTGGGTTCATTGCTGAATTTGAACACATGTTTAAGAAAAAATTATATACCATTTAAATGCCATCTCTTTCAGAAGATAGAAGAAGAAAAAAATGCTAACTTATTTTATGCCAATATTTCCCTAATACCAAAACCAAAGGACATTATGAGAAAACTACAGACCTCTCATGATTATAAATGCAAAATTCTCAGCAAAATATTAGCAAATCAAATCAAGCAATGTATAAAAAGAATTTTACACCATGACCCAGTGGAATTTATTTCAGGTACACAAGACTAGTTCAACAGTCAAAGATCAATTAATGTAATCCATCACATCAACAAAGCAGCTGAAAAAGAAAAATCATATTTTCATATCAATAGATACAGAAAAGGCATTTGACAAGATTCCTCACCTATTCATAACTTTTAAAATACTCTCAGATACTAGGAATAGAGGAGAAATTGAGAAAAATCCTCAACTTGATAAAGAATATACAATTGTAGCAAAGTTGAGGGATACAAGGTTAATATACAAAATCACTTTCCTATATGGTATCAATGACAAGTGAAATTTAAAATTAAAAATACAATACCATTTATATTAGTACCCCCAAAATGAAACACTAAGGTATAACTATAACAAAATATGTTCAAAATCCCTATGAGGAAAACTACAAAACTCTGATGTAAGAAAACAAGAAACTAAGTAAAAGGAGGAATATTCCGTTTTCAAGGATAGAGAGATTCAATATTGTTAAGATGTCAGTTCTTCCCAACTTGATCTATGGATTTTACACAATCCCAGTCAAAATCTCAATGAGTTATTTTGTGCATATTAGCAAACTAATTATTAAGTTTATAAGGGCAGTAAAAAGACCTAGGATAGACAACACAATATTAAAGGAAAAGGACAAAGTCAGAGGACTGATACTACCCAATTTCAAGACTTATTATAAAGCTGAAATCATCAACACAGTATGGTATTGTCAAAAGGATACACAAATAGATCAATGGAACAGAATAGAGAGCCTAGAAATAGCCCACACATAAATAGACTCAACTGATCTTTGAGAAATAAGCAAAGGCAATACAATGAAGCACATAGTCTTTTAAACAAATGTTGCTGAAAAACTGGATATCCACATTTTTTTAAAATGGCACAGACTTTACATCTTTCACAGAAATTCATTCAAGATGGATCATGGACCTAAATGTAAAATACAAAACTACAAAACTCCTAAAAGATAACAGGAAAAAATCTTGATGACCTTGAGTATGGCAATGACTTTTTAGATAAAACACTAAAGGCATGATCCGGGAAACAAATAATTGATAAGTTGGACTTCATTAAAATTTAAAACTTCTGCTCTGCACATAACAATAATAACAGAAAGAGAAGACAAGCCACAGACTGGGAGAATATATTTGGACTGTTATCCAAAATATGCAAAGAACTATTAAAATTCAACACTAAAAAAAATAAGCAACCCAATTTTTTTAAAAATGGACCAAATCCCTTAACAGACACCTCATCATAAAAGATATACAGATGACAAATAAGCATATTAAAAGGTGCTTCACATCATAGATCATCAGGAAAATGCAAATTAAAACAATGAGATACCAACATACACATCTAATCAAAATCTAAGATATTGACAACACTAAATGCTGGCAATGATGTGGAACAACGAGAATTCTCATTCACTACTGCTGGGAATGCAACATGGTACAGCCCCCTTAGAAGATAATCAATCTGGCTGTTTTTCACAGAACTAAACACCTTCTTGCCACACAATCCAGAAACCATGCTCCTTGGTACTTACCTAAATCCATTGAAAACTTATATCCAAAAACATAAACGTGCACACAGATGTTTATAGCAGCTTTATTTATAATTGCCCAAACTTGGAAGTAAACAAATGTCCTTCAGTGAATGACTAAAAAAATTAAAATTTTTTTTTCAAAACTGTGGTACATCTAAATAATGGAATATTATTCACCACTAAAAAGAAATAAATTACCAAGCCATGAAAAGACATAGAAAAACCTTAAATGCATATTAATAAGTAAAATAAGCTAACCTGAAATGGTTACATACTGAATAGTTCCAACTATACAACATTCTGGAAAAGATAAAACTATGGAGATGGGTTGGGGTTGGGTGCAGGGATGATTAGGCAGAACATAGAGGAATTTTAGAGCAGTGAAAATTCACTGTATTGTACTATTACATCTGCAATATAATGTCATTTTACATATGTCTAAACCCATCGTACAACACCAAGAAAGACCTCTAAAGGAACAGTGAACCTTGGGTAATCAAGGTGTGTCAATGTAGGTTCATCAGTTGTAACAAACGTTCAGCTGGTGGAGGATGCTGATAATGAATCTGCATTGTGGAGGTGGAGGGTCTGTGGGGTATCTCTATCCTTCCACTTAATGTGCTGTGAACCTAAAACTTGCTCTAAAAAAAAAAGTGCTTTAAAAAATGTTATCGTACCATTTACCTCCTCCTTGATAGCAACTTTCACTTCAATTGTAATTGTATATTTGTGATTATTTGTTTAATGTGTATCTTCCCCCCCGATTGTGAATTCCAAGATTTTTGCTCACCATTAGCTCTCTAGTGCTCAGTGCATAGTAGTTTCCAAATTGCTTGAATGACTATATATAAATTTATAAGTATAGCAAATATTTTCAAATCCATAAAATCATTATCTTTAACACTTCTTTTAGAATTGTTCCGACAGGAGAAAAATGGGAATGATGCAGGAGAAGAGAAAACAGCAGCATTCATTCCTATTTTGTCCCCTAAAATCATTTAATCAAAGCCTAGGCAACATCTCTAAGTTATAACAGCTTGATCGTATTAATAATAACAACTTAGCACCTTTTTTCCGAAGGGTTCATTGCAGACATCTCAATGTCACTTTGGGCTGACTCTTCCAAGAAAAAGACGCCAAAAACAGATTTTTGACTTGCTGTTAGCCAAGCCTAACCAGTTTTCTCTGAGGAGCTACCAGCTCCCCTTCCATAAACATTTACCCAGTAATTTTTTTTAATGACCATCTCATTTCCTTAATGCAACCTCAAGATGTCAAGGGCAACAAAAAAGCAACCGTGTCTCTGCATGAACTCTGAAAGGAGCCAAGGAAGATCCCTGTACAACAGCTTTTTCTAGGTAGGCATAGGGGTGGTGATCTGTACCAATGGGTGGGGTGGCGGTGGTTATTTTGAAGTAGCATTTATTGAGCACTTTGTGCAAGTCCCTGAGCTAGCGCTGTACACGTATCATCTCGCTCGTTTAATCAGACCCCTCAGCGGCCCATTTCCCTCATTAGGGCACCCAGCGTGGGCCTGATGGGATGACCAGCTGGTTGCCAGGGCAGCCTAGCCACTCAGGCCGGGCCCCGGGCAGGGAAGAAGGAAGCGGGTGGAGGTTCAGTCCCCAGGGCCCCCGCGCCCTGTCGCTTACCCTCCTGGCTCAGCGAGGGCAGCGTGGACAGCACCTGCCTGCCCAGGTCCTGCAGGGCCGGGACGAGAGTGTCCAACATCTCCGGCTCCCCGTCGACTCCGTGCTGAGTCCTCAGTAAATCTCTTCTTCCTTTCTTATGTGGAGTTTGCACAACAGTGATTTTCCCACCCTCTAGCCCCTTCTCCCCGGAGCTTTGGATGTGCCTTAAAAATAAAAATTCCAAAAATCTTGAAATACTTTGACTTTTTTTCTTTTAAAAACAAACTCAAACCTTCTTTCCCTCCCCGTCCCTCCTCCCCTCCCCCTCTTCCCACCCCAGCTCCTACTCAGGTTGTCGGGCAGCTCCACAGCGGAAACCCTGAGAGCTGACCCGGACGGCGTCGCATGTGCAGATTCGCCCTCTCAGGACCCAGGGAGAGACCCAGGGAGGGACGGCTGGAGCCTGGAGGAGGAGGGGAACCAGGAAGCTGGCGAGGGGGCGAGGGGCGAGGCGCTAGGACGCCACAAAGCCTCGCTCGGTTGCTAAGGCGTCCAGGTCGGGACTTGGCCACGCCCCCTAGGAAGGGCGGCCCCAGGTATCCCGGGTGACCCGGGAGCTCAAGGCAGGAGGTTAGGAGTCCTTTATTATTATTATCATCATCATCATCATCATCATTATTATTTAAAGGTCCCCCCACCCCCTTCTTATCCTGGCAGCGAAGAGACTTGGTGGTTAGGGTGGTAGCTTTTGTATCACCTGAAACGAATCTGGGAACGCTTTTTTGCCGAGGGATGTGATGGACGATTGAGTCTCCGGATCTGTTTGAGGGTTTGGATTTGAGCTGGAATTTGTTTCTTGGTTTGGTTTTCCCAGGGCTCCCCTCCTAGGAAGTGGGGGGCTAGAGAAATGGGGTGGAGAGAATTGGCTTCTTTAAAAATTGCAGTTATTTCCCCCCTTCCCTAAACAGTACAGCATGAATCTCATCCTGAGAGTTGTGTTCATTCTCTCCCCTCTGCTGAGAATGACCACAAAATGGGTGCCGCTGGGTAAATCCTAGGACATAGAGTGCTGTCAGGATCACTGCAACACACCTCATTTCCCCTGCAGTCATTATGCCAACAAATACTATACATTATGTATGCCTTTGTGTCTGGCTCCATCACTTACGTTGTTTGTGAGATTTGTTCATGGTTTCTGTGGTAGCAATTTGTTCATTTTCACTGTTGCATATGATTCCTTTGTAGGAATATAGGACAATTTATTTATCCATTCCACTCTTGAAGGCATTTGAGTTGTTTCCATCTGAATAATGCTGCTGCTGCGAACATTCTCCTCCAAAGCTTTTGATGGATATATGTTCTCATTTCTGACGTGTGTGTAACTAGGAGTAAATTGGTGGGTCATAGGAAATGCATAGGATCAATTTTCATAGATAATGCCAAGCAGATTTCCAAAGTGATGGTGGCAATGGTGGCAGGTGGGAGGAACTGCTGGCACTTAGTATGGACAGTGACCATAGATGATAGACCACCTGCAAATGTGCCAGACATTCCTACACAATAAACATTGTTCCACATTTTCCACCACTTTCGAATAGCTCATCAGATTTCCATATAAGGCAAAAACATTTTTTTTGGCTTTAATGGATGCAGCTAGAGAACATCATACTAAGTGAACTATCACAGAAACAAAGAACTAAATACCACATGTTCTCACTCAAATAAGCGAGCCCTGATCACTGGTCCCACAAGCAAAAGGGTGGAATTTGCAGGTGCTGGACATTGCTAACAGGACTGGAGGGATAAGGGAGAAGGGCACATGACAGCACACTGGGTACCCTGGTCCACTATCAGGAGGAGAGAGGGCAAGTAGAAGCCCAAACTTCACGTGCATGCAACTTAATTATGTAGTAAATTTGCACTTGTGCCCCACAACTCTAAAATATAATTTAATAAAATAAAATAAAAAAATTTTTTTAGGTGAGAAAGCAGGACTTTTTTTTTTTTTTTTGAGTTGGAGTCTCACTCTGTTGCCCAGACTGGAGTGCAGTGGCCGCTCCCAGCCACCGCAGCCTCGCCTGCTGGGTTCCAGGGATCCTTCCGCCTCAGCCTTCCAAGTAGCTGTAACTACAGGGGTGCGATACCACGCCCGGCTAATTTTTGATTTATTGTAGAGATGAGGTCTTGCCAAGTTGCCCAAGCAGGTCTCGAACCTGCGGGTTCAGGCAATCCACTCACCTCAGCCTCCCAAAGGTGCGGGATTACAGGCTGAGCCAACGAGCCCGGCTAAAGTAGGACTTTTTAAGAAGACAGAAAAGCTCCCAAGTGGGAGGAGGCCTGAAAGAGGGTTGCTCTAAAAGTTTTTTTAAAGTTGCTTTAGAGCCTAGAAAAAAATTAAATTTACTTGTACATATAAAGATTTTGCTCAATTTCAATATCACTTAATTTTCTAGGAATTCAAAATCCAAGTAAATTGGGGAGGGTTTTTTTTTTTTTTTCAGGATTTACGAATTCCTCACCATTTGGGAAAATTGTGTTATCACCATAAATGAGACTGGTACTAGTTGAGTAGCTAATATACCTAAGCCAGGCTGCCTTTGTAGCTGTTGCATTCATAGTGATTCTTCCTATATGTGTAAGCTTGTGTTGGTTTCATTATGTTTTCTAGTATTCTTATGACTGGACACACACGTGGTGAAATATATATTATTCTACTAGACATTTTTTACCTTTAAATTCTCTACTGTACTAGAGTTATGACTTTATATTCATTTTTAAACAGTATGGTTAGATAAACTGTATTATCCTGTCAAGATAATCAGGCATTACAAAATATTTTTTATTTTATTAAAAAAACCATGGGGTCTAATACGACTGAGAGCCTCTGTACTAGAAAATGGCAAGCTCTGTAGCCCGTCCTCTTTCTCCCCCTACCTTGGCAACTAAGAAGCTCACTAAGTTTTGAGCCTTTCTTAAACTAGTTTCCTGGGAAAATAATTTCCTCCCACTCTTCCTTTTACCACCTGACTTTTGTCCTCTAGTGTGTTTGTGGTGTTTGGTCTTAAAGCACTTGGGCTTACAGAGCAGGCTTTTCTCCCTAATCCTTCGGGAAATTGGCAGGTGATATTGCGGATCGGATCAGCAGCAAGAAATGGGCAAACCTTTTCCTAACTGTTGTTTTGACAGTAATTGCTGAGCCAGCTAATTTTCAGTGGCAGTATTAGCATTATTGTTCCATCTGAAGATAATAATAGAATTATTAAAATATATTAGTTTCTTACAATAATTATATCTTGAATTAAATATCATGATGATGCTTTTAGTCTCCAAAAAAGGATTCTTTGGTTCCAGAAGAAGCTTCAGCATGCTTATGAATGCTAATGATTAGTGAATTGAAGATGGCAAAAAGAGACTCTGAAAATAATGAAGACAAGGACTGTTCTTCCAAGGTCTTTCTTTTCTATTGTGAAAGGTCTCTTGACAAAAGAGGCTGTCTAGCTACATGTGATCCTATGTTTACCAGCAGCTTTTAATGAACTATATAAATTATGTATCATGAAAAACTTCTAATGAGTCATATAAATTATGTATTATGAAATTATATACTTTTCAGTTGATAACAAAGCTCAGGCAAACCATGCAACTCTACTGCTAAGAATTTGCTCTTTGGATATATTGGCATGATACATACAAAGATATATGTATATGCAACATTGTTTATAATGCTAATTCTTAGAATTAACCTAAGATGACCATCATACCAGACTAATTCAATTGTAAATCCATACATTGGAATACATTTTCAAGAGTTTGCTTAAAAGAAAGCTGATGTTGAAAAAGTTTCAAAATAAGCTAGGCATTGTGGCTCACTCCTGTAATTCCAGCACTTTGGAAGGTCAAGATGGGAGGGTTGCTTGAGGCCATGCATTGGAAACCAGTCTGGGCAATATACTGACACTCCATTTCTACAAAAATAAAAAATAGAAATAAATTAGCTGGGTATGGTGGCACACTTTTGTAGTCCCACCTACTTGAGAGGCTGATGAAGGAGGATCGCTTGAGCCCAGGAGGTAGAGGCTGAAGTAAGTTATGATTGTGCCCCTGCACTGCAGCCTGGGCAACAGAGCAAGACCCTGTCTCAAAAAAAAAAAGTTTCAAGATATATTAAGTGAAAACCAGTATTTCTATATAATATAATTCTATGGTGTTTCAAATGTAAGTATGCACACATATTAATATTTTATTATTTCATTAATGTATCTATTAATAATTTTGAAAACATAAGATATATGAGGAAAGATACACACAAAAAAATTATTGTTATTTTTGAAGCATGCAAAATTGTGTATGGAGGGGAAAGAATTCCAATAACTATTATTTCCTCTTTTCTCCTTTATTTACTGTTTACCAAGAGCATGAGTTACTTTAATAATATTTGATAATTCACCAAAGAGAGTAAGAGAGAAAGATACAGGTAGAGTGCAGGGATTTATGCAAACATAGGAGGAAACAAACAGGACTGGAGTTTTCCCAAGTATGTCATTGTGCATGTGTCCTTCTCTGCAAGTTCCAACTTGCCTGGCAAAACCCACATTGAATGGGCAGCTACTTTTACCCAAGCCCCAAGGCATATAGAACACTAAGCAGCTTATATTAAGGGCAACTTGGAAACTTACTGAAAAAGAAAACATTCACAATTCTCATTATACAACACCAGAATAGAAATTTGCAATAAATACTTTAACCCACATCCATCAGGTACCTAATTTGTGCCAAGCACTTGGCTAATTGCTAAGAGGAATACAGACACTTACTAGAAAATTCCTACAGATGAGAAGTAGGAATTTTTCACCATTTAACAAATATTTAGTGTAGGAGGATCTAAAAGCAGGGATGGGTTCCAGAATCAAAGTGTAAATTGAAAATTGGATATGGACGAAACTCCTCTAGGAATCCACTAGGAAGGCACCATGTTGGAGACCCACATATGCTATCTCTCAGTTCACAGACCCCAGCCACCAGTCTTCCCCACCCCACCCCCCAGCATTGAAGCAGTTCACTTTCTTCAGGTAAGAGGTCATGAAGTCGTTGGCTAGTGTT